CTCTGATACACATTTGGATATAATAATAGAAAATACAGAACCTCAGCAGACCTACCCAGTGCCTTTAAATCTACCTTAAAGATTGCAATAAAGATAAGCATAATGATCACCATATCAATATTATATTGATTTATTGCCCAGCTCTACTTAGTATGTCAGCTGAACTGGGTTGATTTACATATACACTGACAGCTAATTCCACAAGAACATGTCACACACACCTGCCACACAGAGTCTTTTGAATCCTCCTCCCAATCTCTGGGCCTCAGGCATGCTCTGCTGGGGATGTTCTCAAAATACACCCATCAATCATGCCGCAGACAGCTACACCTGCCCCTCCCCGCTACTCCGCTCCCAAATGCTGCAAGAGTCTCAAGGTGAAGGAGGGCGCTCCCTCTATAATAACTCACCTGTAGGACCACACGCACACAGTGCAAAGAATGTGTGCCCACAATCAGTGTCCCCTAAAAAAACTTACTGCATCCTACAAAAACAACCTCAGATATCTCTCTAAGGTCCCACTGATGGCTCAAAGGACAACACAGCGAACAGGAGCGATGACATTTCCCAGGACATGTAGCATCCATCTGGACATAAGTGATGAAGTATTGGAGGAACACACACACACACACACACACACACACACACACACACCCACACACAGGAGAGCCTCAACTGCAGAAGTGAGAAAAGAAAAGAAAAATGAGTAAAAGGCCATCCCAGCTATTTTCCCCAGAAACAGGACATGACAGGGGTGTGAGCCCAGTGCTAGCCTGTGAGAGGTGAAAATAACTTTGTCTCATTGCCTGCGAAGCTTCTCAGATGACCAGAATATAATAACGTGTCTAGGTTTGTTACTCCTTCTACACATGTCTGCTGGGATACGTAAAGGCAAAAGACAAAGAAGCAATATGATATGATTAAAATCTTCAAGCATCATCAAAGTTCTAGTCCCATTATCTGTCAACATTCATATAACTGTACATCCACTATTGTACGTGCTTAGCTGCTCCAGATTAGACATGCTGTCATCTGATGAAACATGCTGAAATAGTGATGAGCAACATCTTACAGTTTTGTCTGCTTTTAACTCACTTGTCAGGGTGGGGGTGGGGGGGGGGGGGTTCCTCACTACGTGTGTTGGCATACATGAGGTGAAAAACAGACTGAATAAGTCAAGAATCAAGAATCAAGTATCAAGTAAGACAACAGCAGGGCCAGCTCGGCTTTCTTTGTTCCCAGCTAACAAATATTTGGCAAGGCAGGAATAAAACAAGCAACTTTAAGAGAGTGAAAGAAGGGGGGAATCAAAGCAAACATGAGGTTCTGTAAAGAGCCTGTCCTAGTTCTTTTTGTCGACCAAAATAAAAGAAAAAAGGAGACAGAAAGACAGCAGCAAGGGACAGGGACAAAGATGAATACGGAGCTAGAGAAAGGAGGTGAGATAGAGAGAGGCAGAAAGAAAAATACTGAGAGACTTATGTAACTACATGGCGCCTGTGATGTCAGCGGCTCAGTCTTCACTGGAGCCGTGCTCCTCTGAACATGTAGGAAGCAGTAGGAAACCAACACACACTGCTCCGCATATTTTGACAGAATTCAGTTGTATGTGTTGCAAGTAATTTTAAACGTAAGAGGGAACAAGTTGTCTTTACCACAGGTGAAAACATTTACTGGAGGACTGCTCTTACTGTAGGTTCAGGGTTGAGGTACGTCACCTAGCATTAGGAACTTTTGCTTTCAGCTTGACTAGGGATGTCCAACCTCTCAGCAGGACCTCATAGATAAACGCAGGTGATGAGGACCTGGACAATGAGGGATTCTTGCCAACCAGTCAGGTACTCTAACTTCCAGTTGCACATTGATATAGTGAACAAAGTACTGGCTATTTCACAACCTGTCTGGTCATCACTTTGTGGTACTGCAGCTTTTAAATACACTATTTCTTCTTCGACATTGGTCTTTACTGTGTGTGTTTCCCTCCCACTTGTCCTCCTGTTCCTGCTCCTCTCAGCCTGTTGTCTCGTCACAGCTCAGAGGTTCCACCCTGAGATCCTGTTAGCGTTTATCAGAGCATGGCTCAGGTCCAAACACACACACCTACCCTTTCCACCAATCAATACCAAATTTACAGAGGCAGCTTTCCTCTAGCTAACAGAGCTCAGCTCTCAGGGGTGGCTGGTGTCATAAAGGTGTGGACATTAGAACAACACGTCTATCAGGCGACTGGTTACACAGAGCCTTTAAGCTGGAAACACACTTTAAGTGACTGAAACCTGAAAAGTTTATATATCCCACTCATTTCCCCCAACATACACAGATAATATGGGCATCATGTCATGTGATGTGTGTCACATGACACCTGTAACACACGTATGTGCGTATGGGGCTACCAAAATGGGTGAGTATTTCAGCATTTCATTTTTTTGATGCGTGTTGAAAACACGGAAAACAGCAAGTCCTGACACGCATCAGTTTGTCGCCAGTGTGTGTTTCCCTTCAGTTCACTAAAGGAATGAATGTGAATAGAATGAACAGAATGTGATGAGATATGTCACAAGAAAACCTCTGAATTTCTACAACGTGAAGATAAATGTACCAAAGCAGAAACAGACATCCATGAAAAACTATTTGCCTTGTTAAATTATGTTCTGATTTTCAAAAAAAGGCAAATAAATAGTTAAAACAAAGAAACAGATGGACAGGTACTGTATCAACTGGGTTAAAAGGCAATGATTTGAAGCCTCAAACACCTCACGCTATATGATTTTATTTCCCAGCTGACAATGTCAGCAGGCCCAGACTGTCATTAAATATTATCACAGTATTTGGAACAGCAGTTCTAATATGTATTTATCCCTGCAGACACCTGATGCACCATGATGCCCTCACGGACGAACAACATGAGTTTCTCTACAACATGAATAATGGTCCTCATAACCATAGTGCTGGGGATTGAACTTTGACACTTTTACAGCATTGATCAAATTACTTCAGTACCATCGAGTATTGAAAGATGCTTTTCTACATTTTTATTTACTAATGTTAATGTTAACAGAACTTAAAGTTGTGAAAAATGGCTTTACATTATATGTTTTTATGAAACTGCTCTGAGTGCACAAAAATGCTAAGCAACTGAAAAATAGTCTTTTGATTAAATATCAAGATCAGGATGGTAATTCTGTTGGAAAGGTAAACCGGGCAAGGGGTCAACAAGACACAGTCCCCGTGTTTAATGTCTCCATCTCTCCTCTCACTCAATCTTGGTGGAGTCAAATAGTATCCTCAAATACCTTTAAACATTTATTTTACCCTGTCAAGGCAGCAAACGTGTACAGGAAGTCTGATATATTTGAGTAAGTACTGTATTTTTGATACAAATATACTTCCTAATTTCTACTGATGAACATTTTGGTAGAGGAATTGCTACATGCTAACATCAGCTAATATGCTCATAATTACAGTGCTAATATGCTTATGTTTAGCAAATTCCCAAACCATAAACCATTATACTAAGGTGTTTCCGTCTGGACCAAAGTGGTGGACTGACTGGTTTTGATAACTGGAAACTCAGTCTTTGTGGGTTTTGGACTGTTCTTTAGACAAAATATACAGTCTGAAGCCATCACCTTTAACTCAGGAAACCAGTGATGAACATTCTTTTATCGTTTTGTCACATTTTATAGCCTATACAAGTCATGAAAAAGTAAGACTGTAAAAAATAACCTTATATGTCATCTGTGCAAGCAGCTTATCACGACCCGTAGCTATGTTTTATTGCGGTCACCGAGACTATCATGGGAGCAAAGGAGAAAGTCAGCTGACGTACTGTAGTATATCTTTGACATGGAAGAGCGCTGTTCATCTCCCATTTACAACCAATAGTCACTGTTTCTTTTAACCCTTAAGTTAACCTCATTATTGTAACTTTAAAAAACACAAGTCGTGTACATCTTTAGTCATGGTGCGCGTTTCAGGAGATGCCTCTATGAGTTGTACTGTATCAGAAGGTAGGGCCAAACAATCTGCATAGTTGTTCAGGTTGGAAGACCTGTTAGGAAAAGTAACTGACAGATCCCTTGATAATTCCTTCCTACTTACCGCACTGTCCTCAGTTCCGACACAACTGGCACACAAGCTGCTCAGAAACTCGAAGAGTAATTTGAAGCTCTGACCCAGTAGTGCACTTCACTGCCTGTCTCTCTGTCTGTATGCGTGTGAGTGCTGAATCTATTTTTAGAGACACTTTATCCTTGTAGGTATTCACTGACCAGGAATATGCACACAAACACTGCCACCTTCTCCCCAGAAACATTCACCAAAACATATTGCACATTCAGACACACACTCAGAAAAGAGACTTTCTCATCTGTTATCTCTGTCCATCTCCAGCTCCAGTTTTTCAAACCAGCTCCACCACCTCCCTGTCTGTAACTCAACTGATAAATATCTTCTCAGTCGCACACATAAAGAAAAGATGAATGAGTATGTTGGAAAGCAGGGTGAGGCCGAAAGAGATAGATGACACACTCGTATATATGTTAGCTCTATATAAAAACTTGCTGCATTGACATTCATCCCTCTCCTTTCTTTCTGGTGTGTGTTTGTTGTGTGTGAGGGAGGGTGAAGGACACTCTGCATCTCTCTCAGTTGGGAATAAAGAAGACTTTGTAACCTCCAGTCTCTCTGGACCTTGGATTTAAATACACATATCACATATCACAGGGCTTCCTATCCACAACAACCACACACGAAGCACATAAGTACTCGTAAATAGAAATCCTACAAAAAAAAAATTTAAAAAATAAGCAACTGTTCCTTCAATAACCTGAAATCTCAAATCAAACAATGCTCATTATGCATCTTCTAAGATTAACATGCAAGATTTAAATCTTGTAGAATAAATGCCACAGGCAACTTGTGCTATTAAAATACATGAATGTGAAGCAGAAAAAGCAAAAAAAGAAAAGAAAACCAGAAGGAAGAGCTGCAGCACTCACCGTTCTCTTTGCATTCCTCGGGCGGCTTTGCCTTCTTGGCTAGCCTTGGGTCCAGCCACGATGTTGTCTTGGTGTTGTGGCTGTGAAGAGACGACAGAGAGACAGTGAGAGGGAGGGTGATAGATGGGGAGAGAGAGGAGACTTGGCAGAAAGAGAAGAGGTTGGAGGATTCTTAATTCCGCAGGAGAGTCATTTCA